AGAGAGAAGTTGCCGATCTTGCCCCTATACCCGGGGCAACTTCGTCAATTTCTCTCTTCTTGTAAAGTTGTAATTATTTTAATTATTTTTATTTCCAAATTGATTTTAACCAGTTCTATAGTAAGAAAACATTCCAGTAGACAATATGCAAAGCTTTTTTTTCAGTTTACAGCAGTATTTATTACACAAAATTTAAGTACAGCTTAACATGCCGATCTCGCCCCGGTCTCCCCTAATATAGAAGTAAATAAAAAATAATTTAAATACAATAATCAGGTAACAATTCAATTCTGATTTTCATAAAAAAAACAATGTATCAATTGTTTAATTGTTGAGGTCAACAATTTAGTCGCAAATTCGCAAACGATCCATCTAGACGTGGGAAAGAGTATCTGAAAGTTTACAGAATAATAATTTATATCAGAGTTAAGTTTGACCTTGTGGATCTAATTTCATAAAAGAAAATGCACGTTCTTGAGTTTAGAAATTTGAGAGATGATTCTTACAGATGCGAATTGTGCGGCCAGAAGTTTAATACGCAATCAGCGTTACAACAACACATTAATAAAGCACATACACCCCGAAATAACGCTGATGGTTCAAATGAAACGTTTAAATACGAAGAGTATTTGATGAACGTGTTTAATTTTGTGCGTTACAAATGCCAATATTGCGGCTTGTTGTTTATAACGGAATCAGATTTAGAAAAGCCTATTAAAGAATTTCATACAGTCGTAAGTAATGGTGCGGGTTCAGGTGGATCATTTAAATACAAAAAGCATGGGACAACATGCGGAGAACCTTTTAACGTAGATCAGAACATTACTCATTCTGAAATCACGTCCTGCGTACGTATTAAAATATTCATTTTATTTTTCTTTTTATACTGAAAAATTCTATTCATATTTCTAATTATTACTGAGTGCTGCGTTTTTTATATTACTATTATCACTCTCGATTTCTCTGAAAATTAAAAGGTTCTGGAACCATAGTTTCAATTCTCTAGGGTTTTAGATCATCCATATGTTGCATTTCCTTTGTACATCAATCTATATTCATAGAATTTTCGTGTTTACCGTCAAATAATATCTGTAACTGTAAAATATATTTAATTTGTGTATAAAATTTGTTTTTACAGAAAATGTTTTCAATATTTGAACAATTACGAACATATATTGAAAAATCTGAAGAATTAAATTCAGTAAAGAAAACTTATGAAGAGTGCTTCGAAATTTTGAAAAAAATTAAATGTGAGGAAAATATAAAAGGTCATAACCCTAAAAACAAACACAACAATGAAGCAGAACAACAGCAAGATCCGGCAGGTCATCAGGAATTTTCTCCTGCAAGTGAAGAAAAAAATCTTTAATTGGAAAAGTTAAAATCTCAGATTGAAATTGGAAAATCTTCAAAATTAATTATAATTATTAAATTTGGCTTTTTTCGCAAAATTTACAAAACTACATTCGATATAATAATGCCTGCTACATAGATTAAATTTATTTTAAATGCAATAAAAACATTTTCTAAATTTACTCTAATAAAATCTTTTCAATTTTAATGCAAATTATTTCGTTTTTATAATTTTCTACATTTCTGTAATAAAAGTTCTGTTGTAAACAGCAAATAATTAGAAAAATATTTTATAAAAATAACCTATAATTGAAAAAAATTAAAATGAATGATTTGAATTTTAAAATTAAAATTTAATAAATTCGGTATTAAGTCAAAATTGAATTAAAAATGTAAGTATAATTCTAAAAATTTTTTATAAGTTAAAATATGTAATATAGTCTCAGAGTTAAAATATGCAATCGGTTCCTATTCTTATAAACGAATTACGACTTGAAACAGTTAAACTACAAAACAATTCTCATTTTACTTTTTTTTACCCAAACGTATATCCTCTTTTATCTTCGGCCTCATCAGTGGATAACGAAACTTTGTAATCTATTTACCTATCAATCTGATTGGTTTATATGAATTGTGCAGCCTTTCCAATGGAAAATATCATTTCATAGAATTATACAAGAGAACATCCATATAAAAATATGTTTTTAAAATTTTGAAAAGCTTGAATGTAAATATGTACTTAAAACTATGTGGACAACAATTAAACATTTTAGCAAAATTACTGAATAAAATATTAAATTTCATACAAGTAAATCCATTTGAAAATTTCGGTGATATTTATAGAAACAAATTTATCTTATTATTGCTCTATGTTGCTAGTATATTTGAATATACATAATTAGCCATAGTAAATCTATAATAACAATTTATTGAATTGTGTTTTTTTTAATAGAAAAGCTTTTAATTCTTATCTTTTACGAGAAAATGAAGTATGTAATTAATTCTTCCACAGTTTTTGTTTATATTATTCAAAACTGATTGCTAAAGTCATCTAAATAATTTAATAAAGGTTTATTTCACATTCGGAATCTTCCTTTATAGCATTCATTGAAGCTTCTGGATTGTTAGAATAAAGTTTAAATTTTTCTTCTAATTTTTGTATAATTTTTTTCAATTTTTCTTCTTTCGAATCTATACCGATGTTTCTAGATTTGACATCCTTAGCTCTTTTCTTTATCGCTTTTTTGTACAATTTCACGCATTCTTCGTTTCTGCGATACAATTGTTCTTTAGCTTTTATCGTATTATTAGCTTCAGTAGGATCGTATGCTGGCAACGTACCTCCATATTTCAAGGGCAGACAATCAGGACTGATGAATTCGTGCAGTTTTCATATCAGGATGAAAATGCAACTGTAATTTAAACGATACTTTCAGAAAGTAAAACTTAAAACAAGATATGTGAATTTTAATTATATCGAGATGAATAAGGTAGAAAAAATCTTAAATTGAAAAATTAAACTGTAGATAAATCGAGACATTATAAAATGCTATATACATTCGTAGATTAACAAGAAATCGCAATTACTTACATTCCATCTGACTTCATCTGATATAAGTGCATCATACCGCTCTAGGGAATCCGAGTAAATAAAAAAGCCTCCGTATTTTTCAAATGGTAGTTAGTCCTGATATGTCAAGCCGCGTCTCTATCCTCCCGGTCGAACCATTGTAGAACATGCAGAACTAATAACGGGCTTGCTAAAACTGGCTCTGTTTGTAGCCAAATGGCAGAAAGAGTTAGTAGATATACAGGTCTGTCGATTTGTTCACTGCACTGTTAGTCAGCGTCCACGAACGTACAACAGAAGATTCGTATTTTATTACAACTTGTCACGATATTCGATCTTCCGTAACGATAGTCGATGCCGATCTGCTATTACGGATGTATTAGGGAATAGAACTGGTTTCTTCATAGTATCTGAGAAACATACTTACATTAGACTGGTTCAAACACAGTTCACAGGTCGTACAGTTGTTTCATTCAGTGGCGTGCCGTGACATTTGATGACAGGGAAGCTGTGTTTCTAGAAGAAGCCGACTTCCAGGAGCAATCAGTTAATTCTCTCTTTAAATGTATTTATAATAGGTTATTTATCTGACGTACTTAATAAATAAACAAGTTCAATATAATTACCTCTCTTATTAGATACAATATATTCCATATGCCCTCTAAATGCCAATTCTTGCTTTAATAAAAACATATAACATTTATTTATTTTGATATAATATATTTATTAACCGTAACTATCTAGTTATAATTTTCAATATTTATTTTATACTAGCTGCAAGGACCCGCTTCGCTCGGTTTTTATTTGTATGTATAGATAATATAGTTTTTCTTATATATATAAAAACCTGTTTTTCTAAGTAATCTAGAATCTAGCTGCAAGGACCCGCTTCGCTGGGCAAAAAGAAACGATACTGAAGATTAAGATAATTACATTATAGCTAATCTTACTTGTTTTTACGGAATGCAAGAATTTGGTCCCCCGTTTCCAGACTAATTAGAGAATCTATACGTTTAGTCAAACGAACTATTTTCAACGTTTCTGGAACGTTTACAATTGTTCTATAATCGAACCAATTTTCGACTTTTATGTTCGAATTTAATTCGAACAAATTCGAACAAAACATTCGAAATAGAAAACCACTTTCAACCACTTTCAAGCCCATATCTCCCGCACTCTTATAGCTATCGAGACGCAACCACCCCTATGCACGAATGGAGACCTAGGGCTACTACCACATACAAACACCATTCACGTGCGATGTGTAGTTTTGGAGGAAAAGTGAAATATAGAAACATACATGTCCATATATATATATATAGATTATTTACTAATGTTAAATTCTATTCCGCTTCGACTTCCAAATTGCTTGAAATACGAAAGAATCGACGATTTTTCGCGTCTTTCGCCAGTTTAATTGTCAAAGCCATTCTTATTTCACTCACTAATTTCATTTGAAAATAGTAGGCGAGCCAACAAAACAATTTTTTGCATTTTTATGCATTTACAGAGCTATTTTATCTTGAAAATATCGAACAAATTTGTTTATAGAAGTGTTTATATTTAACTTAAGCATTGGCCTTACTCTATTAATAATGTTTCTTTTTTCATTATATGTTGTGGAGCCAAAACTTTTTAAAAATAAATTTTCAATATCGCAATTACATTCTGAATCGATAGCCACGATATAAGGGCTAAAATTAAAAATAAAATTATAAAAACTTACTCGGTGAAATAAAATGTGTGGTGGATATACATACCTGGTACAAAACATTCTTCAATTGTACGAATATACTTTTAAAGAAAATTATAATTAAATATAGCTTTGTAATGAAACGTACATAAAAATAACATAAAATATTCTTGACTTTTTAAATCTTAATTACTTAGTCAAATAGCTCCCTACGAGTGGAATCAGAGACGGTCCTGCTAGGTGTGCGGTGCGTACATGCACTCGGGCTGTTAAATACCGAGGGTGCCGATACCGGTCAATTCAAATGCCTTTTTTGTCGCATCACTAATATATCTCAAAAGACGCGACAAGGTTCTTGTAAATTTTAAACGTTTCTCACCATGGCTGTAAAAGTCTAAATATGTTAAACTTAACAGTCATTTGTTTTCTAACTAATTCGTTTGAGGACCAGCTGTTGTCCACGGAAATTTCCAAAATTTACAACTTTTGGGTCACTCTCGTTGAACTGAAAAAATTTCTGTCTTTATTACATCTAATATAGTATTTCGAAGTAATCAATCCCCACTGTACTCGGCTATAGATTGGTTCGGTTAAGCTTTTGTTTAAGTAATATTTCGGTTCTTTCATCAGGGTTTTGTTTATGTCTTCAATTCCCAAATAGCTTAATTATTTAACTACTTCTTAAGTAGAAATAAATCGAAACCGGTTACTTTGTACTCGTATATTTGTAGTCTCGGGAAAAAGTGGAAAGCAGTGTTGCCGTAGTGAAATTTCAAAACGTACTGAAGCGCCTTTAAAAAATGTACTATTTTCCTTCAAAATGTACTAGTTTTATGAATACTTTATTTACGTGCCTATATATATATAGGCAGGTAATTTATATATATACAGTATATAGTCGTTTATCCGAATCAATTGGGGACTGGGCTTGTTCGGATAACCAATTATGTACGAAAAAATATATTAATTTATCCCGTGTTGAAATTTTTCTCCGTTGCATGTCGCTTTTTGTTGAATTTTCGTCGATGTTAAGCCTAATGAAGCCTATTGTATCATTAAAAATTATTTTTTTATTTTGTACAAACAAAATAAATACAGTAAAACCTGGCTATGGCGACCACCCACGGTTCCTTCAAAAAGTGGTCTTTTAGACAGGTGGTCGTCAAATACAGGTGGTGCTGTAATACCGTATTTTCCGTACGTATTTTGCGCACTTTTGAGCCATTTCTATTAAGCAAAACTCGAGATGAGCAAAAATAAGCGAATTTTTTCAACGATATGGCTATATTGGTATTGTATTTTATTCTTATCGGATAACCCGATTTACAGGAGTCGTCATGATATTATAAGACAGATTTAACACCAATATTTTAAAGATTAATACAATAGTCGCATTTTCTCGATTATAATGCACACTTTCTTTTTTCCGACTTAATTAATTCGACTCGGTTCTTTTCGTTCGCTCCTCAGTTACGTGTATTACGTCATCAATATACA